GCAGTGGCAACTTAAAAGTGAAGGAGCCTGGGTTGAAAGGGGCAGTGATTCTCTACTTTCAGCAATTCCTATTTCTGCAGCTGACACTGGTCTCTATGTGGCCACAGGCCTGACAGAAAATAGCGCAGGCTGTGCCAGCAGAATAAGGGGACTCTCTTTACACCTGCACCTGAACACCCATTAATGCTACATCTCTTTCTCTATCTTGAGGTGGTGGTGGTAGATGGCAAATCTGGCCTCCCTGTTTGGAAGCAGGAACTCCCATGGCAGAAACAGCAGCTTGACGCACTATCAGTCATGACTTTGGACAAGAAATCTGTTTTTCTCTTCTGGGCTGATGAAGCACAGCCTGTGCTACAGAGTTTGGTGAGCAGCCACCCTTTCTTCACTTTGAGTTTTCTGTGAGGTACATGTAATCTCTGTCTTTTATTCCTAATGTAATTAAACTCTAAACCTGCTCTTTGAGACTGCTAGGGACATCTTCCCTTTTGCTTCGACTTGGATGGACTTCTTCAAGCCTGTACACTGGAGCATATATATGATTTTTCCACCAAAAAACTTTGTAGACTGAGAGCTCCCTTCCACGAAGCCAAAATTTTCTGTGTTATGAAAATAATTTGTTTTTTCAGCAACACTGAGATTTTCTGCCTGCAACTTTGTTCCCAGACCTTGAAGATTATTTTCAGCATACCAACAGACAAGTCAGCATGGAGTCCCAAATTTCCAGACTGTAGCTTGGCCAATCAAGCCAGCTTTTGTAGAGCAAAATCTCAACTTTACCAAACAGAGGCTGGAGAGCAAATTTTAAGAAAAAAAGTTTTGCACTCTTTCAGCTGTGTGGAACCATTAAGTTTTTGATTCTCAGTACCTAGCAAAGGTAGCACAATGTCAGTAAACTTTTTTTTATTTATTTTGGCAAAGCTAGACTGCCTTTTAGTAGTAATCTGTAACATTTTTGTTTACTTTTCATTCCATCAGCATCCTGGTCCCAGATCTGAGCGCCCGGGGCTGCACCACCTTTATCTTCTCCATCCTGTTTTCCCTACAGTCCTTTTGGACCTCACCAATGCAACAGACAAAGTCATTGCCTCAGCAGGTGAGTTCAAATGGTGGAGAGACTACCTAGCCTAAAAGAAATGTGGAGGAATGAAGATACAGCTGTAAGAAACAAAGTGGTATACTTGTGTTACAGGTAGTATTTGAGATCCACCACTCACACAGACCAGCAGTGGGAAATCAGATTGCTCTTCCACCTGAAGGAAGGTCCTATCCAACCCCTACTTTACAAATGAAAGGCCCACCAAGATTCTTGAACATTTAAACATGGAAAAGTCTGAGTTTGAATTCATGCATGTTTAATACCAGACACATTCCCTTGCTTTCCGTGGAGCACATCACCTCAGATACATTTCTGCCTTTGCTGTCTCCTCTCCCGCCCTTTGAGATAGCAGATGTAGTGCTCCTTCCTTTTTCTTTTTGAAAGGGAGAATCAAAATGTTACTGTATGTTCCAAGGGAAAGTGGATCTAGATTTGACATTTACAAGATCTCACAGTCCCTGTTGGATTTCCTTTCTTTTTCTAAAGCAGTTCAACCAACATCCAACTTGTTGAGAATGGCAGGATGCAGGATGAAAGGTCAGTGCACATAGCACTGAATCCAGTAGGCCAGGAAGCAGGGAGAAGCTGCGGTCTAGTGATATGTCTAATCAGATTTGTATCAAAAAACAGCTCAGTCAAGAACAAATAGATTATTGTTCTTAGAGGGATTTATTAGAAGCTGGGATTTCTGAGGTCTGTATAGATCATTCCATGGTAACTGGAGTAAACTGATTTGCTCCTACTTTAACAATTTACCCTTCCGTAGAGGTAACAATTTATGCTAGCAGGAGTGGAAAGGAATGTTCTATTCAAGTGAACTGCATTAATTAAATATGTACATCTCATATGTCAAACACAAAAAAAGGCACCTTGGAACCAAAAATTGACATCGTTGATCTACTTTTCAGTGTATTTCTATGGAAAGATTTTTATTTAAAATTGTTTTCCCTAATGAACTAAGGCTCATGCTATTGAAAAATCAAATTGAATACATCCTCAGTCCAGTGACTGTTTGGAATGAGTGAAGACTGTAAGATTTCTTTTGGGTGAAACATAGTTATTATTCCTCACCAATATTTTCTCTCTCTTTTCTGATGAATCAGTTGGAATTAATGATCTCCAGAAGGATGCATTTCACATCACTGTGACAACAACTGCAACCTCTGAAAAACAGCCAGGATTTCTCTCAGTCAGCAAGTTGGGCTTGAAATGGGCCATGATGACACAGGGTCGAATGGTGTGGCTAAAGGATACCACCACTCCCAAAATCAGCCGTGGAGAAGTGAGGCGATTTCTTGCTCGGCTGAAATTTGTTGACTTTCCTCACAAGGTGAGATTGTGCAGGAATCTGTGATCAGATGCAGATTGTTCAGGATATATGATTGCTTCTGTACTGTACAGTGTTAGGTGCTCTCTAAGAGGTGGGATTCAAATTGACTGCAAGATGACAGGCTTCCCCTTTGGGTGTAGGCTGGACAGAGTGTGGTGTGAGGCCCAGCTATACTTCAGCGGTTTCACAAGAAGGAGATCTTAGAAAGAACCAGGGGTGACAATCATAAAGGACTGAGAGACTTACAGACAGAACGGAAAGGTAGGGCAGAGGTCACTTGTTCTGACATGGCCAAACAGGGGTCCCCCATGCACCCTCTGCGTAGTGGTGCCTAGTGTTGCTGATAAGTAAATTAACACTTTTCTGTACTGGACTGAATGATAATGGATTCTGGCTTTATTTTTTGTTTCCCTTTTCTTTTCCAGCTCTAGCCTAGTGGTTCCTGAGATTTTGAAGGACCTATGACCTGCATGGGGAATAGAGGAAGCTGCTCAGGGGACCTTCAGGAAAACTGCTTTGTAGAGGGAGTGGGAACTAAAAGCACTTCCCCTTTCTTCAGCTATCTGGGGAATATTGCTGGAAGCTGGTTTGTCCTTGGCAGATCTGTCCTATATCAGATGAACCTTGTGCAGTGTCTCCCCATCCATATGCTGTTCTTGCATGCTTCCTTTCAGGTAACATGGAAATGTGAATTTAGAGCTTGCGCGTGCACACACACACACACACACACACACACGAGTTATATATATATATAAATTTATAGAATATATGTATATTTTTTATATGTTTAATTTATGAACAGATTTAGGACACTCCTTTTTATGTCCAAACAGTATTCCCAAGTAGATAAACAAGCTCAAAGCCTGTGGTGGTCTATGATAACTATGGGCAAATTATGTGGGTAAAGAACGCCATCTGCTTTAATCTTCATATTTTTGGAAAGTAGCCTCTGTCTGGCTTCTGCAGGACAAGTCTTGTCTACAGCCTTTCTTATTCTCTCAGCCCTTTTTTCCATCTTGTTGCCAAACTTACAAACAAACTGGCTCTCTGGCTGAATTACCTAATAGAAAGATGGCTGCAAGAACATTTTTCAGCATTTGCACTTATGTGTTTCTTTTCCCAGATCCAAGTTCAAGATAGGTTCTTGTGGTTGACCGACGTAGAAGCAAAAGGTTCACATCTCATTTCTACCTCTTATTCATCCATCCTTAAGCTCTGTATAAACCTGAAGTGTCATTGTAGCATCATGTTGCAGTTCATTGGGCTGAGTTCCCCTTTGAAAAGCATTGCAGCCCCTTTGGGAGAGGCTCTTAGCAGGTCCCTACTGGCTCTGTAAGATCACTAGACTATAGATACAGTTACAGAGAAGCTTATTCTCACACAACTGCTTCAGGGTGTAGAGGCTCAGACAAGAGGTAGAGATGGAAAGCTCTTCTGTGCATGTGACTCTGTTCTGGGCTTAACTTGACCATTGCCCTGCCAGCCCAGCAGTTTCAGGAGGAATAGACTGCCCCAAGGCACATTTATTTGCTCTCAGTACATTTAGTTCATCGAATCGTGCCTGGGAGCATGCTGTCAGACTCCTGTGTTGTAGTTGCAGAGCCTCTACATGAAGTTGTCTGCAATAAAGTAACTATATAAACCAACGACTTTGCTGCCTTGGCAACTCCTCACAATGCAGGGCAGCAACATGTTACCTGTTTTCCCAGATCTGACCTTTGACATTATGCAAAGCCAGGATGAGGTGAGAATTGCAGATCTTTCTTCTGTCCTCCTGCTATCATGTACTCTTCCTGTTTTGCTGCATTTCCCTCCAAGTAGCAAGGTGATGGCAGCATTTTGATGCTTACATCAAGGATGGACACGTGGGTTTGCTCTTGACACCTCATCTTGCTACATCACCCTTTCTTCTTCCTCCCTGCATCTCCATATAAAGCTTCCAGGACAGCTTTCAGTGTAGCTCTTCAGGATTAGCCGCAATCCCCAAAGCTGGCCTTTGGACCCTTCTCTCCTAATATCAGCCCTGAGAACAGTTTGTATATGTTTAATGGTATTTTTGTGTAAATAGCTTTGTATATATTAGCACAACTGTAGCAACAGCTCTAGGCCTGGGATTTTCCTCCAGACGGGTTAATATTTATAATATTATGTTAGTTAATACAGCTGTAAAATAGGAATTGAAAGTGTGAGGACCAGTAATATATGAAGATTAAACAGGAGTGCACCTTTCCTCCTGTAGCCACCACCTTGCTGGGAAAGGTGAGGCATTCATTACCTGAATTAGTTATTCTCCTGAGGTTCTTCCTGAGAGAACTAATATTTGAGTGCAGTGACATTAGCTCCTCCATAATGTGAATTCACCCCACCCGCACACACACGTCCCCACTGTGAATAAAGAGTCTGTCTGTATATTGTTGAGAAAATGTATTTGAACTGTGAACTGCAGTGGAACAAATAAATACTGTGTACAGCATCAGTGTGTGTCATGTGAACCACCATTTTGCCTTTGAGGGATGATGAGTTTGCTTGATTTGGGGACTGTTGGTTGTATTTTTACACTAAGGGGAAAAGGGACAAGTGAAGAGAAACAAAAAAGCAGAAGTTCATCCTAGGATTCTTAAAGGATGTGGAGAAGCACAATAGAAAGTCAGACAGGAAAGTATCTCAGAGTGGGAGCTGGAGGGGGCAAAGCAAGGAGAGTGCATATAGGAGCCTTTTCAGATGAGAAAGAAGGAGATGTTTGAAAGCAACCTCCCATTTCTACTCCAGCAGCACTTTTAATCTGGGGGTGGGACAGGAGACTGGGCCTGCAAATGAAGAGTGAATGGGATCTTCAGGGAGGACTACAGCAACTCAGTATGAGCACCTATGCCCTACATCTTAGCACTGAACCAAAGAGGTTGCTGGAATGGCAATGTGGCTCCACCCAAAGAGGCCCAGCAGTGCAATTTGCCAGCTGGGTTGGGCTGAGTCTATCTTTTCCTTAATGCAGTGCTGTTGGGATTAGGGCACCTGCCTCAGTTTTGTCTGACGCTTGGATACAGATGGCACCAATGACATTTACCCCCAGTTTCATCCTTCCCAGCTGAAGAAACCCTTCAGCTGTGATCAGAGAGGACCTACCTTGCCTCCTCTTGGCACTGCTGTTGCCCTGTTCCAGTGCCTGACTTTTCTTCTTCTCACCCCCTGAACATTAGAGGAAGGAAGAGCTCCCCAGGAACTTGCTAATAGTGGTGTTAGTGTTTGGTTCAGAGCTTTTTGCTTCCCAAACCCCACTGTTCAGCCCCTGTGTGTTCATCCCTAACACTGATCTTCTCCAATTGTCTGTCCCAAGACCTCATCCAGGTCCAGCTCTGGTTCCCGCTGCAGCACTTTCTTCTGCAGCTCAGAGTAGAAATCAACTCCCTCGGACACTGAATGGAGGGGTTTGTCTCGAGACCCATAATAGCTGCTTATTTGCTGCTGTATGAAGTACTGGTGGTGCTGAGGCTGATCCTTGAAGCTCAGATCATAGCCCTTGATGTGGTTGCGTTTGAACTCCAGCACTGTCTTCGTGTAGGTGTTGAGAGTGGTGACAGCAGAAGCCATGCAACAGGTGAAGGAAGTCCAGGCCATGCTGCAGGAGAGAAACAAGAACAACACATGCCATGAAAAGCCAGACAAAGAATTGAACAGCATGCACCATGGTGCGCTGGTTTGTCAGGTAGAAGCTGCTGATCATGAACATGAACTATAGAAAGACAAAAGATGTCAGACTAGTAAACTCAAATAACTTCACCAAAATGTTTTTCAAGGCAGCTATTGTGTATCAGCTGGGGTTAGCTTATTCAGCCTTTGGAGAAAGAAATCCTGAGCCACATGTCTAGTCTTGATGCTACAGGTACAGACCTTTTGGACTTTGCTCAGTGAAGATGTCAAACCAACGTGCAAATTTATTTAAACTGCAGAAAAGCAAGGTGTTTTTGAGAGCAACATCACAGGTGTGGCAGTGGCCTCTGCACACAGGGAAGAACTGAGACTAAATAGGGCAAACAAGCATAGAGGCAAGTCTGATTGATTAGTCAACAAGTCAGAAGGCACCTGTTTAGGTGTGTCTCCATTGTTTTACCAGTTCTTGGTACCTACTCACTTAAGTAACTCAGCAACTATTTGTTAAAGCAGGGGATGAGGAGATTGAACAGTAGGAGAACCATGTATTTGGAAACACAAAGGGTCAAGAAGGGAGGAGGGTTTGGACAAGGTGTAGCATGTCTGAAGACCCACAGCCCAGGGAAGTGAGGGTGGTTGCAAAGCTCACGTACTAGAAAGCCCAGCCGTAGTCCCACGTGTGTGGCCTCCAGTCCTCTGGTCCCAGATTAACTGTGGCTTGGAAGACTTGGCTGTACATCATGTGTGCCACCATCCCAAGGAGACCTGGTAAAGAAGACAAAAAAACAAAACAAGGAAGATATGGCAGGAGCCAGAGCTGCATGCTTCAGCCTTGTGTGGGAGAGGAGGCTTTCCTGTTGCTGTGCAGGGCCAGCAGCTGCTATACCACCTCCCCAGGGTTGCTCCTACATCATCATCTCCTTGCAATTCCCATTAATTCTGTTTCTTTTTAGACAATTTTTAGGGGCTTTTTACTGCTTCTTTCACTCTGATTCTCATCAACAGAGGCGAGTGAATGAGAAAGGCTGTCAGTGTATTTTTATTTCTGCCCACATGTGCCTGTCTTGCTGCCAGGTTCCACAGTAACACACTTACCTGACAGCACTGAGGAGACAGCAGCAAAGGCATTGAGCTTCAGTCCACAGACAGGATTGCCAGTGTGCAGCATTTCCACCATCAGGAGGATGAAGCTGATGAGCAAGAGGCTGATGTACAGCATCTCTGACCCCAGTGACAGCCACAGGATTCCTGCCAGGAATCAGAAACCCCTCACATCAGTACCAAATGGCTTCTTCAAGGGAGAATACTCCTCCTTCCCAACCTAATCCTGAAAGGAATTCTGTTGGAGAGAAGGGAGGTGGGGAAAACAACTATCCCCTAGTCCATCAGCAAGGATGCTGAGGGGGACAAAGTGTCGTGGAAAATGTCTTGGCTGATCCAACACTGAAAAAGCTGAGAGGACCTAAAACAGCTGCCTTGTATAAGCCAGTGATATTCATAAACAGCAAGGTAAAGCCATGGGGGATATCTTACCAGAGCAGTTACATTCACCACTCACTCTGCTGCTTGCATGGAGAGTGGGCACATTCATGCAGGGCTTATCAGTGGGACTTGAGTCATACCACAGCTCTCAGCCCAGCTCATTGTGTGGCAGGGATAGAAGAGAATGAGAAAAGACATTTGGTAATGCTGGGCTCTGGAAGAGCACACGATTCACTAAAGAAGAAATATTAATCTGACAAATGAAGCAGCACTGGGAGCACTACTGTTAGCAATTGCTAATGGCCCTAGAGGAGTCATTCCACTGGGGAAAAGCAATGCGAAGGAAACCCTCATTACTGTGGCACTTAACTCAGCTCCTCTCCTCAAACATCATTATTTCTATTGAGTCACCCAGCTCTTTAAGCAGGAATTAATGAGTTGCATTCCCTGCACAGAGGAGCTGGTTTGCTTGCTGCAGCAAGATCACAGACTGTTTCTTCAGAGGTCAGACTGCCAAGAGTGTCCTGGAGGCCACAGGCACCAGCAGTGCTCAGAAGCCTCCGCACTGCTTTTCCTGTGAAAGCAGGCTGGTCTCACTGCCCATGCTGGTGGCTGCTCTGGAGGCCTAGGTCATCTCACAGTGCAGGAAGGGGTGAAAGCAGGTGATGGAGCTGTGATACTGTGAGTGTCATGCTCCTACTGATACTCCAATTAATCTTGAAGACCTCAGTGTCTCACAGAACAGAGGCTTTCTTTGAGATTTGGATTGAAATTAACCAAGAAGCTGTAGGAGGAGTGTAAGGAGAGAGAAACATATTTACAAAGATGTATTCTGGTTGCATGAGTCTATTTTCTCAGGCTTGGGGAAGACACTGGAACCAATAGAGCCAGAAGCACAAGAAGGTGAGGAAGCAAAAAAAAAAAAAAGGAATTATTGCTTCCTGTGAAAAGAGCATATTGTGGTAAATGCAAGAGCAATTCCTTTTGCAGGGAAGTTATTCACTTATGACAAAATGGAGATCCATGTGATTTCAGAATGATCTTGTAACATCAGCATCATTTGATTTGTGTAAATGCTCTTTTCAAAAAGAACAAACATGAGAGGTTACTGTGCACAGTGCAACACTGGTACCGGACCCTGCATCTATGAATGCACAGGGCTTTATAAAAACAGGTCATCATTCTTAGCCACATGACAGAGGAAGCAAGACAGAGAAAGAAGGTGATCTCCACTAAAACACTCATTTCCCTTCTGTCTGCTGTAGTTGCCTAGTGTGTGTTCCAGCCCATCCAGGTGTACTGACATTATCCCCAGGATAATTTGAACCATGTGACAGTGACAGGAACAGTCAGCTCTCCAGCCCAGATTTGATATTTGACGAGGCAGGATTTCACTCAAAGTGTGCCTTATGGATGTCCTGATTGCTTAGTGCAAGGAAGTGACTGGGTTCCCAGAGGCATCCATCAGAACTCAAGACCGCAGCACTGAGCGAACATCCAGCACAAGGGAAGGAATGCCCTTGGGTGATGTCCGTCCCCTCCCTGTTGACTACATGAGATGACAAGACTGAACTTGACGACTTACTAAAAGAGACGAACCCCACTTCATGTGGGAGGAGGCCTGGGGTTTCTGTTGCTGACCTCACAGATGATAGTGGTTTGGGCAAACATCTGGGAGGAAATCTTTCTATTTTTAGCATCCACGAGGCCTGAGTATTTGGGGACCCACCTCACTGTTCTCACGCAGGAGAAATGTTGCAGGTCCCTTGTCCCAAGGAGGTGCACTGGGTAGCTACGGTGAGATAGGGGGATTTGCTCTTACCTCTCTCTGCTGGTGGAGAAAGCTCAATAAAGCTACGGCATTTCTCCTCTGAAACACAAAAACAAGGATATTAGCTTGTAAAACAGTATAGGAGAAGGTAAAAGAACACCTCTCCCTCCCTCTCTCTTCATTGAACAGCCACAGTCATTTGAATCTACTTGCCAGATCTTCTCACTTTCGATCTCTTTCTGACCATCCATCCATACCCTCACTGGGGCATTGTAGGAGAAGGCAATCTCTGGGGAGAACTAGGGGTGGCCCTTCTAGAAAAAAATCAGCAATTTGTAAATGTTGTCACACTTTGCATATATAAATCTGCTGCTACTTCTTCACCACCTTATTACCAGCCTCTGAGGTCTGCTGGTCAGGGCAATTGAAATGTAGCTTACAACAGACTACAGACCCACCTCTTCTGAGGACACACATTTCCCACTCACCTCAAACAAATCAGTTTGCAGTATTGATTTCCCAAGAAGAAAGCAAAAAAATTCTCTTCCCATATATTTCACGTTAGAGATATGAGATCCCCTTCTGAGACAAAGAATCACACAAAGTAAGCCTTCTGTCCTCCCAGTTTAGGCATACTATTTGAACAATTGTTGTTTGTTTTTGCTTTGGCTCTTTATAGAGGCCTGATACAAACTATTAACGAAGGGTCCACCATTATTATCTTTTAGTCTTTCTTAGCTGTGTACTGCACCACTGTATGTGAGGGTCCTGTCCTCTACTTGGCATGGTATTTTCTCCCAGGAATACAAGCCTGCAGTTTTTCATGTAAGAATCTCATTTTCTTAATTTCTATCCCCAGTTCTAATCTCTCCCAATCCCTGTATTACTTCTATCATCCGTGGCTCTCAGGATGCTACCCAGTTTAGTGCCATCTGCAGTCTTCATTAACTTGCTGCTTGCTACTTCACCTAGAACTTTAATGAGGTTATTCAGTAATGGCTCATCTAAAGCTGATCCTGAGATTAGCCTGAATAATGAAATCCTTTCTCCAGCTCAATTCAATTCAAGCTCCTGTTGCTGATCAAAGTCTTGTTGGTTTTTTTTTAAGTTGTTGTTCTCTCTGCGCTTGCTTCAGAGACCCTCAGCTGTGGGTAGATAGTACTCACTTTATAGGAAGCAGGGGACTGAGGTTGACTATGACTACCCCATGCTCTGGTGCAATCCAGATGTAATATGCTCTCAGCATTCCTTCAGGCATTGGGGTTATTCCAGGACTGCCTGGTGGCCAGACAGTTCTTTCAGAGAAAGCTGTCAAATTACGTATTCCCACTCCCACAGGCACCATGGAAACACACTCCAGCCCAAATCAGCCCCAAATAAACACATCTCTTTCCACAGCATATCTGGAAAAGCTCATAATGAAGCAATCCCCTCATTAGGACAGGAGGTTTTCAAGTACGTTCCTGCTTCCACCTCTCTTCTATCTTTTGTTCACCTTTATGTATGTATGTATCTATGCATGTATTTATTCATTAAATTAATTTTCAGAGTCTTACAGCAACAGATAAGAAAATGAGCAATGCTGTACTAGAACAGTCAGTCAGTTAGAGAAGGGGAGATAGACAAGATGACCTTTAAGGGTTCCTTCCAACTCAAACAGCTCTATGATTCTACTTGTGTTGGGTAGACCTGAAGAGCAGGGCAGTGGCTCAGTGGAAAGGGCCTGATGAAAGTAACTTTCATCATTGCATCTTTAGTTATGCATCTCTCTGATGGCCACCTTCTGGATCAGTTCTGATCCCCAATGTATGTGCCAGGCTGTAAAGTGCATTTGTGCACTGTGGAGCATCCACCTGTACTGATGTGGCACCAGTTCCTGCAGAAGGACTGCAGCAGGACTGGGCAAGAGCAAATTCAGGGCGAAAAAAGGCATGGGATCTATTACAAGCTGGATGACCAGCCTCTGGCTCTCCAGAGATTGCAGTGCCAGTTTACAGTAAAAAATTACAAGTCAGACCTGTCACAATATCACAGAAATAACTAAAAGTTAAAACACTGTGTCTCTAATCCTCAGGTCAATTTGCCTCCTACCTTTGATTTCTCTCTGGTCATAATCTCAAGCTTTTCTCTGCATCTGTAATGCAGGACTTCTCTTTCTCTTCTTATTGCTTTTTGTTTGTTTGATAAAAGCCCAATCCCTATTCATTTCATACATCTCCTCAGTTTGGTGATTTAAGGAGAATGTCAACAAATGTAATCCTCACAGTTGTTAACTGGAAGTTGACAACACCAAATAAAATCCCCCTGTTTCCATTTCACAGGGGATATGCACAGAGGTGCCCTGTAGAGCATAAAGTGAACTATGTGTAGGAATGGAGCTCAGGGAAAGGGAAAGGAGGGCCACTCCAGTGCCCATCAGGGTGAATGGTACAACCACAAAGTCACTGTCACCATCACCTGCACTCCACTGCTCCTGTTCCTGATAGAAGGGCATGCCAGAGACAGGCATTCTGCCTTGCTACCATCTGTAAACATCTCTGTGAAGGACAGAAGTACAAAGACAGTGCACAGGGTTGGTGCCATCAAGGAAAACAAAGGCTTTTCTCTCAAGTGCTGTCAGCCTCCACCTTTCAATTCTGAACTTCTGTGGAGTAAAAGCAAGGGAAAAAGCTGTGGCCATCTGTGCAAGACACTACCTGGCCCTTCCATGCTCTCTTCACAGGAAAGCCACATCCCCGTGTGGAAGTATCTGAAGGAAAAGCGGTCATCCCCGGTCTCCCAGCTGTAATGCACCTCCTCCTGGGCTGAAGCATTGCTAGCAGCTGCATCAGGTGTCATGGGGACACCGATGCACTTGGAGTCTTTGCTCTTCCCACACAAAGGCTTGGGCACTTTCTGGGTCCCGGTGCACCAGTAGCTGCTGAGCAAGGCGGTGGTGGAGAGGCTGAGTGCCAGCAGGTTCAGGATAACTGCCAGGAAAGCACGGCGCCACGGCAACATCTTCAGCAGCTCCATCTACAACACAGAAACAGAGGGACTATCAGATCAGCCATCTAGTGTCACAAACCTTAGCTTTTCCAAGGGGGAGCACATGGGAAAGGGATATGGATAGGAGAAGCAATCTGCGCTCCTCACAACATTCCAGCAAAGAAGGACCCTTTTCCTAAAAGACAGAGCAGTGGAGCAATAGCTCACACCTCCATATGCTGGAGATGTGTACTGGGGAAGAGAGGGTGACCCTGCGGAACTACTGGGACTGAACGCACTGGTATGTCTGTGTGTCTGTGCAGAAAATGAGAGAGGTTGTTAGCTCCATCTCAAAGACAGTAGATAAGAGCTATCAACCAACTTCCCCCAAATGCCACGTGTTTCCACTGCATGGAACGTGACGAATACTTTGTTCAGCTAAATGAGAATTCTTTCTGCCACGTACCCCAAAACACTTCTTCAAGCACCGTTAATTCCTTTACCTAAGGAGGAGATAGGATACTGATTTTAGGGAGGGGAGCGACAGGGATATGTTCTCAGATTACACTCAAAACAGTGGCCTGCCCCAGGAGGACACCCAGCTACCCACACCCAGCAGCTTGAGTTCAAGCCCAGAGCAGCACCTCCCACTTGAGCAAGCACTGCTCTGCACATCATAAATTTGATAGAATGGTTGGATAACAGTGTGTGTGCTCTGATACAAAGTGCCAAAATGGTGGGGTTTTTTTTTGTTTTGTTTTGTTTTTAAAGAATGAATGTTGTCACAAACATTATTCTCAGTTTTAGCTCACCTCAGTAAGTAATTCTGAAAGCAGTTTGTGTACCAGGGTCCTGTGGTCTTTCTCTCTCAGAGAGAAGCTTAAGATTTAAGGTTCCTGCAAAACCCTGCACTGACTTCTGAGTACCCATCTTATCACTCCACAGATTGATTAGATGTCATCTACCCACACACCAACTTTCATGTAATCAACGCATGCCTCTTCCCACATGGCACACCCTATGTTTGGCACAACTTCATCCAGATACTCCCACCCTTTCCTATTTATGACTCTCAAAATATATTTGACCACGAATAGATTCAGTTTGTACAGACATTGCCTGCTGCTGGCCTCTTCACACAACTTCTGTTGATTCATCCAGCGTTGAACGTGTATGAAAGGCCCAGCATACTGTGGACAATACTATGAAAAATTAGAAATAAACAATCATGTTGTTTGTGACAGTCTTACAGGAATACAGATGAAAGCAATGCAGTCAGTTAGAAGCACTTTTTTCTGCTAACCAGCAAGCTTGGAAATGTGGCCAACAGAGATGCTGCTGAAACACTGCTTGGAAGGCAAAATTTGATTAGCATCTCATCACTTAGAAAACAGTGCCTGAACCAGAACATCTTCATCAAAGGCAAGAAAATACTCGGTTCATGAGAAATTCCTGTACCGTCTTATGTTCTGGCTTCTTTTGCTTCCTTCAGAGCACTTATTTCAGCAATTGAGATGCTGCATCCCAGAGATGGTACCATCTTAGTGACATGGTAACTAAAGAGTTCAATGATCTGGAGGCATATCGGTGATCTGGAGGCATATTGGATGCCACCAACCTTCAGAGTGGTTTGTCAGTTGTTCACTCATTCTTGGTTATACTTTCCTTCACCAGGTTTCAGTTTGTTCCCACTTTTATTGAAAATAATCTTTCCACTCACAATGTTGACAAAAACAAAACAAAACAAAACAACGAACAAAACACCTAAACATTTTTTTTTTCTAATTTAAATCTTCAGTAGTAGGAGAAATATTCTCTCCAGTTGATTTGTTACAGTTGGTCAAAGGCCATATTATTTCAGAACCAGTGACAAGGGGAAAAAAAGAGAAAATGATTCAGAAGCAGGAACTCAACCAGTGATGCCAAGGCTGTAGGGGATAAGAAGCAAATCTGAACATCTTCATAAGAGCATTTTCAGAAATGTTTCCCTCCATAGAAGTCATACACTGACAGTAACTGACCACAGTACCTAGATAACCCCCAAAAGGAAAGAAATTTGAATTTACCTTACTAGCAAGTCCTTGAAGTCCTGTTAATTTGGAGGAGTAATACAGAAATAGAACTCACAATTTGTCTTCGGTTTTACTTGTCTCTAAATTTCCCAAGAAACCAAACTGCTTCAACCCTCCTTTCTCCTTCGTCTCCTCCTCTCTTCCCTTGCACACTCCCTCCCCATGATTATTAAACACTATCCCTCCAGCCAGCAGCTGGTTTGTGGAAAATGGTCATTTTATAATCCACAATGCAATCACAGCACAGCTGTTCTGGGAGATTATATGGGAAGTGCTTGGTGCTGCAGACTGGGATTAAGTGCAGCATTCACAGAGTAAAAAGTTTCAGTGAAGCACAGAAGTATTCCAAGCCATCTCTGGGCAGAGGCTGTTTGGAAACTTGAATGGAATGAGATGGCAGCTCTCTGACTGGTGCTGCAGGGGACAGTGACCTTAGCTCAAACTATCAACACTCTGGGCACCAATTAGCCCCTTCCTGTGCACACAGCCTCAGCAGATGACAAGGACCCAAAGTTCCCATCTTTGGGATGTCTTCCTGGCCCGATTCCAATCACGGAAAGGGGAGAAATTAAAAATGGGGCTAGGATAGCCTATGTGACTGAATTTGCTCTGAGAACTGTGCATTTCAGACTCTAAATATATGTTGCTCCACCTCTCCCTATGGGCAATGGGAGTTGTAATGAAAAGAAGGAGTCCCTCAGCAGAACAAGTGCTGAGTGACAGACAAGCTTTGCGAAATAGTTGTGAGTCTAGCAAGTGCAGTACTCAAAGGGTGGTGTCCCTCATACTGGCAGCTTTACCAAGGCATGAAGTTCACCAGGAATTCCAGCTCCCAGCAGCTTCACATCAGATGAATTTGGAAAGCTAGAAAGAAACAGAAAGATTCACACTCACCCAAAGTCCCCTCTGAGCTCCTGCCCTGAAAGCTTAAAGGCCCTGTGATACTTGAGGGTTTAGTTACAGCTTGTTTGGCAGCAACAGTAGCATCACCTCTCATGAGAAGGAGCAGTCGCTAGAGGGCTCAGAGCAGCTCCACGTGGAATAAAAATGTGAGAGAGAGGTGCTGCTCCCACCCTATGCTTCCATCACCAGACGCAGGTGTACCAATAGCTCTGGGGACTGCACAGCTCAGGGGCTCAGGAGCCTGCACAGAGGCAGTGCTGTTACAGAAGTGCTGTCCCTCCATGCCTTCAGTTGATGGCTGCACAGTTATTTTCATCCCAGCCACTGCCTAAGCTCCTCTAATATAGATAATCATCACTAAGATGGGCTAACTGAAGGCAATGCTGAATGTTTCTGTGCTTCACAAGCTGTCTGAAGGCTTTTTGATTAAAAGCAAAGCTCTGTTTGACACAGATGTTCTTAATTTGCTCAAGGAGCTGATTCTTAAAAGAAGAGCAGTAGTATTTTTTCATTGTTTAGTCTCTGCATCTGAAGACCTTAAATTTGGCTTCTTAATGCTCAGTTTAAACAAGACAAAACAAAGCAAGAAGCCCAAGTGGTTTTCAAGCCCAAGAATAAATAAAATTCATTTCACTATGAATAATTCCTAACATTCATAAGGTTCTAATTTTAAGCACGAGTCTCATTAAAATCCAGGATGCTATATCAGTTCCTAAAGCTAGGATCATGGAATATATATTAATGAAATGTGCCTCAATTTAGATTTATGGACATGGGCTCAGATTTAAAAATAAATTTATCAGATACATGCTATGGCTTTAAAAATATGCCAGATTTAGTATCCTGAATAATGGCAGATATTTATCCTTCCAGAAGATGGCAATCTTTCTCTAGTCTTCTTTTCAGGAGTCTGCTATTCCTGTGTGAACCTGGGGGAAGCAAAACCCAAGTTTGGACTTCTATCCCTTCTGTTTTTGCAGGCTTTTTTTTTTCTTCTTTTTTTTTCCCCTTCTTTTTCCTCTTTCTTTCCCCCCTCATTGGTATGAACACATTCTCTTTCCTTCCCTTGGGGATGTTGGGCAGTGGATCCTCGTCTTTCAATTGTCTGAGCCTGAGAGACTTTTGAAATCAACGGGGAAAGAAGAGAAATGGATGTAGAAGCCCAACAGATCATTTGCTTCCCCTTCTGTCCTGGACAAAGTTATTCTTTCTAATACTTTTTGCAGCATTTTATCAAGTAACATATTAACTTTTTCAGAGTGTTTCCATGCCCAGATTACTGTGCACAGCTCATAGAACATCAACACAAGAGCATGTTTCCTGACATTAGACAAACTTCCCTTAGTAAAATATTCTTTCTTTTAAAATCTCCATTCCAGCTTTGCCTAAATCTAATGAATTATGGACAGGAAAACATCGTTCTATCTGTCTCTTCCCCTGCTGTGCCTTCCAGTTTTCTCTTCTTTGCATCTGATGTTTCCCACCACCAAAGTTTGGCTTTGATACAGGTTTGAGATGTCTCTTTCTTTTTGAACTCAGTAGTAGCCAGTCCCTGGTGACTCGTTTCAACTTTGCCCATTGAAGTGAATACCCACAGCAGTTGGTTTCCTGTCCAATCAGCCAAGCATTTGCCTTACAGAAACAAAACAAGGGAACAAAACACATGACACAATCTCAGCAGAACACCTCTGTAGAGATTGCCAAATCTACAAAAGCCTGGGGATTTAGAAGAGGTGCATTTTCATCCCAGCTGTATCACACATACTTAGGGTGTATCCTGCCCAAAAGTGACACCCTTAACTCCCCAACGTTGTTGGTGATAAAGAAGGGCAAGAAGCCCTCACCAGATAGGGCCCAATAATTACAATACTTAGCTGGCAGATCCCAAGAGGCACACAGCTCTTCATAGCCCTCTACTCGGCTCTGCATCCCGGCTGTACCAGGGACCATACACTCTCCAGACATCAGTTCTTCAACCATCCTGAGGAGAAAGAGAGGAGAAAGAATGGCTATTTACACCCATAAAGTCACTTTGTGGAACCTGGACAAAGGCACGCTCATACTCACCCCTCA